ATCTAGTGTTGAACAATTCACTGCTCACTATTCACTTGTGCCTTTTCTCCAAAACTTTCTCCAACATTCATGCAAAGAAATTACATTTAACTGAAAATATGATCAAAATACTTTTCTTCATAAACACAGTAGCTTCTCCTTAAGATGAAATTCCTTAACATGGTCTATACCTTGCTACAAGATTTTGCCATACGTACTTCTCCAACCCCAGCTAGCCACATTCTCTTCATATCCCCAGTCCTCCACCACAATGTCTTCAAGATGTCTGGTCTTCCTTTCTTCTCAGAGCTTACCACATTCACTTCTTGCTGCCTAGAATGCTCTCCCTTGTAACTACTGCCTGTCTACCTTAATTAGTACTCTTTCCTAATGCTGCAGAACTCAATTCAAATATCTATTTCCTTGACCAACATATTGTATCAACTTCCTCATTACACATTCACACAGCATCATAACTTTTCTTTCATGTCACTTGCCTTGTTTTGAAATGAAAATTCTGATTTTCTAATAGCTAAACCTAGTATATAGTATGTGCTATTAGTAAGGGCTCAAAAACAAAAGGGCTGGGGCATACTTCCTCAGGGAAGGAGGGAGGGAGGGGGGAAATGGGAGAGAAAGAAAGACATATGGGGATAGTGTGGGTGTTGGAACAATAATTACCAACTGATAAAATGAAATAGGAGGAGATGGGTCAATTATAAGTTGGAAAAATTCAAAAGAGATTCTAAATTTCCTTCTATCCAACTAGGAAACATTGTTAGGTCCAACCATTTGCAAAAGAACACATTACTGCAGATATGATTAGGCCACTACTTCTCTTGCCCATTTAAATAATCTTCATACCTTTATGGCAAGTTCTTATCTAGTCTCACCAATTAGAATCTAAACCTTGTCACTAGATATCTGTATCATGTACAATGTTAGAGCTGATTCTATTCATTCCCTTCAATTTATCTCCAAAATTCCAAGCCTGCCTTCCCCTTCTCACTTACAAAGATACGACTGTTACAATTCCAAGTTTCAGCAGCGTTCCTATCCAGTTCATCCCTTAAATGTGTTTGAAGCATTACCAACAGGTTGTATTTCATCCTAGAGACAGCTGGGCTCCAGAGAGAGGTAAAATATTTCATTATCTCACTCTACTGTTCAAGACAAATACGCTATTGTAATGTGTGTGAAATGCTCTCTTTGAAGTCTCTGAAGGGTGTGCTGGGAGGTGAGCCACCTGGAAAACGCAGTGTGGAAAAAATAATTATAAGTAGTTCTGTTGCTTCTTTTCCAGTTTAACCTATCATGGCTGTGAGGACATATTATTTAATGTAAAGGACAGTGGCTCTGAAGCCATACAGGTTAAACTTCATCTCCAACAATTCCCTAATCCTTTATCTTATGTAAAATCGAGATACTAATGCAAGCTATATAGGAGTTTTATGAGGATTAAATGAAACAAGACTTGTAATCTACTTGGAACAGAGTCACAGTAAGTGTGGAGAGTCTTCCCCCCCCCCCGCTTTCTTCTTATAAATACAGAGAATGTTAACTCCTCTTTATAGAGAGAATATTAGATAACCCAATGATATTTCAAAACCATGATAAGGAGTTTGATCTTGAGAGGGGGAGAAAAGTCCACTGATCTTCCATGTGCTGCCCCTTTAATTTTAGAGGATAAAATGCATTAGAAAATTAGGGGTGATGCTTCAGGAATTCATTTGGGTAGCAGGTTAGGACCACCCAGTGAAGCTGGGCATGCTGGCGCTGTCCGTGGTGCTAGCAAGAGCCCATGCCCCTACCCCAAATTCATCTCAACCAGCTGGCTCAGCAAAACTCAACTATTCTGCCTCATGGAAATGTCTCATTCTCCTCATTGTCTCTTTTCCTGGTTTACTGCGTGTTGTTTTCTGTTTCCCTCAAAGAAAAACAATTTTCATTTCCTTATCAATTCCAAATCTTCCCCGCTCCCCCCCACACACACACACAATGGGCATGTCTACCTTACAAAAAGGTGGCTCACCAATTGTTACAGACTACCTTTATGTGGCCTTTTTGATAAATTCCAGAAAAAAAAGAATCCAAGGCCAAATTGAGATCACAGGAATTAACTGATATCTGCTATATCTTTTAAATACTCTCATTTATCAGCCCCCTACTCTAAAACAATCATGTCACCTTCACACAAAACTAATTTCCCCTCTACCTTCATTCCAAAATACCCTGTAAATATATCTCTCAGCATAATTACCATATTAGCTTTAAAAATTCTATCAGTTCTGAATGCTACTACAAAGATTTTCTTACAAAGCAAGGATCATGTCTTATCCAAATGTAGACTCCAAGAATACAAGACACATCCAAGTTTTGTTGAACAAAATTTTAATTACTAGCTCTATTATAGAAACACTTTAAAAGACTGCACACTAAATTCAGAGTAAGTAGACTTCTCTGATTTAAAAAAAATTCTGAATTGAGTCAATTTGTCACCACATCCATTAATATCAGTCTGGTGCCTCAGCTCCTCGGGTTACTGGCAAAATACCCATGGCATTCATTTCAAAGGTTCTGAATTCCCACTGTTTATCTTTCTTCCTCCTCCCATTTTGCGTACACACACCTGTAATACCCAATACACTGTAAATTGAAACTGGTTCTCAAGAGAAAATATAAACAGCTTATCCATGCTTTTCACCCAGAAATAGATTTCTGTTTCTCTAAGCCTAAGAATGAAATGTTCACTAACAAGTGATGCCTACCACAGATGAATGTGGACATTCAAATGTGAGTAAAAAATAGAGATGTTAAACAGAAAACTAAGAAATGGGGGTAAGATGGGAAAGAGAAAAATTGTAATGAGTCAGTAGGTCTTCATCTGTAACCACTATTTCCATGCCCCACTGTCTTTAAAGCAGAGTGTTATTGATTCTGTAGGTGGAGCCTGAGCTACAAGCGATGTGTTCTGAAGCTGTTCACTGAATAAGTGCAGTCTTCCTCAGCACTCTGAACTTAAGTTGTAAATAACTGCTTGGTGTTAGAAGAGGCCCATTCATATAATTTCTCACCAGAGGTTTTAAGTAACTTACACTCTTCATAACTTAATATACTATCAGTTGTAATATTTTAAACCTTTAAAGTAACAAATGTATTAGTTCAAATTCACCTAGGAGGAAAAGAAGTGCTTGATCTTCAGAAGAGGATTTAATGACAGGTTCAGCCTGTTTAATAACAGGCCCAGCACCACACCCATGTTTTTTAATGTTTTATTATTACTGTGTAAAGTCTTTTATTATGATAAATAAGTCAAATACTTGCTGAGGTGGGTTCAAAGAGGTAAGAGGGCAAAGATACACTGTATAAATATTATGGGACTGTGATCTTAGGCCTTTTGTTTGGTTTTTTTTTTTTTAGAAGAGCTCTTGAGTGATGATTGCCCTGGTTGACCTTGAACTCTTGGATTCAAATGATCGAACCTCCTTATATCAGCCTCCTAAATAGCAGGAACTACAGATGCACCACCAGAAATCTCAGATTCTTAAAATGTGTGTGCATGTATGTGTGTACATATATATATATATATATATATATATATCAAGTCGTCACTTATTTTAGGATTTCACCCATAATTCAAAATAAGAATCATTTTTTAAAAAATAAAGTGTACATGCAAAACAAGATTCTTGGGATTTTCAACTATTTTTCTGGTTGATTAATTCAAACAGAAGACACATCTCAAAGAGCATTGCTAAGGTTGTTGCAATATGTGAAACTTGGGAAGTTGAAGTACTGTCTGAGAATAGTTTTTGGGGGGAAGGGGGGATTGTTTTTTTTTTTTGCCAGTCCTGAGGCTTGAACTCATGGCCTGGGCTCTGTCCCTGAGCTTTGTTTGCTCAAGGCTAGCAATTTACCACTTGAGCCACAGTGCCACTTCCGACTTTTTCCTGTTTATGTGGTACTGAGGAATCCGAAACCCATGGCTTCATGCATGGTAGGCAAGCACTCTACCACTGGGCCACCTTCCCAGAGACAAAGGATGGGTTTAGCCTAAATGACAGGTGCAGTGGAGCCACATTTAGACTTAAGAAAGCAGGGATTTGTGTTTCGTTTTGTTTGTTTTCCAAAGGCATTCTCTCAGCCACTTGTGAAACTGGCTGTCCTAGGGCTAAGTAGAAGTGAGAGAGGAGAGGGAGAGAGGAAGAGGGAGACAGGGAGGGAGGAGGGGGAGGAGAAGGAGGAAGAGAGAGAGAGAGGAAGAGGGAGACAGGGAGGGGGGAGAAGAGGGAGGAGGAGGAGGAGGAGAGGGAGAGAGGAAGAGGGAGGCAGGGAGGAGGGAGGAGGAGGAGAGAGAGAGAAGAAGAGAGAGGGAGAGAGAGGAGGAGGAGACAGAAAGGAGGAGGAGAGAGAGGAAGACGGAGAGAGGGAGGGAGAGAGAGAGAGAGGAAGAGAGAGGAGGAGGAGGAGAAGGGAGAGAGAGGGACAGAGGGAGGGAGAGGAGAGACAAAGACAGAGACAGAGAGACAGAGAGGGAGGGAGGGAGCGAGGGAAGGTGGAGGTGGAGGGAGAAAACCCAACCTCGGCTTCAGCTAACCGCCAGCCTGCAGCCCGGCCTGTGTGACAACCGCGTCTGAGGCGCCTGCGTCCTAGATCGTCCCGGGCGGAGTCCTCCGCGCCCAAGCTCCACCCCACCTCGTTTCGTGACGTCACCGGCTGCGGGCCCGCCCTTCTCCCCCGCCCTCCAGTCCCAGGGGCCTGGGCCTGGGCGGGCGGTGGGAAGAGGGCGGGGCCTAAGGGGGCGGGGAGAGCGGCCCCGGCCGCCCAGCTGGAACTCGCTGGCTCCCCGCCGGCTTCCCACTCTGTGGGTCCGCGGCGCGGCGCGCGAGGCGCTGGTTCCCAGCAGCGAGCCGCGAGCGCCCGCCGGGTCCCGGACGCCAGGACAAGCCCGGACATAACTCCGGCCCGGTCGGCCATCGCCCGGGGCTGTGTCCGGGAACCGACGCGGAGCCCGGCTCTCGCCGGCCGGGCGGTGTGCACCGGGGAAGGGAGGTGCAGAGTCGCTGAACTCACGGGCAGCGGTGGACCGTCCGAAGGCTGCGGGATGCGAGCGGAGGACAAGGGCGTGCTCGGGGGCGGCGGCGGCAGCGACGCGGGACTGGCGGGCGCCGCGGCGCGGGGGCAGGTGGAGAAGGTGCGGCAGCTCCTGGAAGCCGGCGCCGACCCCAACCGAGTCAACTGCTACGGGAGGCGCCCGATCCAGGTAGAGGCCCGGCCTGGCCGGCAGGGGGCGCGCGGCGCCCCGGAGGCTCCGGGCGCGGCCCCGGCCCCGAGCGGCCGCGTCCAGGCTGGACGTGCGGAGCCCGACGCGAGGCAGACTCCCCCAGCCAAAGCTTCAAGATGGGGTTGGGAGGAAAAAGCCATTGCTCCAGCCGGGGGCCTGCTTCTCCCGGTCCGGTCCCTCGGTCTCACGGCCTCGGCCCCTCTCCACCCTTTCTGTCCCTCTCTCTTTCCTCTCCCTTCTCCCGTCGCTCTCCCTCCCCTCCCCTACCTTCCTCTCTCCGTTCTCTTTCTCTCCCTTCCTCCCCCCTCCTCTCGCCCTCCCCTCCTCCCCCCCTTACCTCTTTGTCCCCTTTCTCCTCCTCCTCTCCCTCCTCTCTTCCTTCGTTCTCTCCCCCCCCCCTTCCCCTCTTTCCTTCCACTCTTCTTCTTTTCCCCAGTGCCAGGTGTAGTCGAAGTCAGGGTCACCTGCAGGCTAGCCAAGTCCTGTCCACCGAGCTACATGTTCGGCCTCCCCTCCCACACGTTAATGTTCTCCTCGGTGGTGGAGAAACGTGTCACTGTTTGTTCTGCTAGCTCAGTGGCAGGGGGACGAGGAAAATGCCAGTTGGGAATGGATGCGGACGTGGGGCAAGGACGGGTGGGTTGGGGAGAAGTGCTCTGTCTGCCCACATTCCATCACGACGAGAGCAAACGACAAGTTACACAGCTTGGATTAAACTCCAGAGTTCCACAAAAATCATGGTGGGCCAGAAAAAAGTCCACGCAAACCCTTGAAGGTGTGGCTTTGGATCTTTGTAAGTTTTTTCCTCATAGAAGCGACTTAGATTCAAAGGAATGAAGATAGGATGCCCCGACCACACTACTACTGAAGTACTTTTATATTTTTCATGTTAGCAGCGTCTCTTGAACCAGGCAGAAGAGATAAAACATAGGTAGGCTCCTAGAGTTACTGTTTAGTTGATGAAATTCAGTGTTTGGAGATGACAAAGGCATTTCATTCAAAGACTGTTAGATCGGTTTTGAATAGTAGTAGAGTTTTCATGGTCTTATTATTGTTACCATGCATTTATTCAGTGTTTATCTACTAATCCTAATTAGTAATCAGGATTTTATTAGTGATCATTTAATTCCTCTAATATCTAAAACAATGACTTTGCACTATAAAGTTGACTGTTATGGTCACATTTGATATTCACTTCTCACTTTTCAGAACTAAGCTGATATTAAGGGATCTTGTTAATAGTTTAGATCTTTAAAGAAAATGGTCATTTCTTTTTAATTCATAGTAGTATGCAAATGTCATAACAAATAAGGAATATTTTCAAGCAGTCAAAATAACACTATCTTAACGACTTAACTTATACTAATTATAAAAACAAGTTTTTATTTACAATTATAATTCACCATTTTCTGAGCTACTAAGAACTACTTTCCCCTTTTCTATAAGTAAAATAGCTTTTACATCACTAGCAAAAATGATATTTTATAGTTATGTTTTAAGGGAGGAAATGAATACTTCTAATATTCATGAAACAAAATAAAAAATAAATGCTAGATGTATACTGCTTTTCAATTACATAGTACATTTCAAAGCACATGAACCTGCAAGAACAAATAACTCTGTTCTGGACATTTGATTTTTCAAAGTAGTGTTGAAAGCAATGCCTGCACAATGTACACGGACACAAATGGCTGTCTCTGGGATGTGCCTCTGTTTTCCCTAAGTTACATATTGTTTGGGTTTGACTGCTAACATTCAAGCTCTTTCCAAATATCAAAGTTTTCACTAGTTCATATTATGAAATCATAGTGACTATAAAATACTGTATATTTTTAATATTGTGACATTATTATGTTGCACTACATATACTGTACTTTAATTTTAGCCTATAATATTAACAAATCATTTGTTTTCCTAATTTATAAGATGGGAGATGTATCATGGTTTATTATTTTTAATCCCCAGCCTTGGTTCAAATTAGACTACACTGTTTAAGAACAGATTCATATGACAATAAAAAGGAAACCCCTTCCACAGGGAATTAACAATGAGAACTAAACAAAATTAAACCTTAAAAAAGCTTAATTGTTTATTGTCTCCCCTAAAGCATTACTCCATCTTTTGTTTACTACTTAATAAATATTGATGGACCTGAAGTAAAGTGTGGGGGAGGGGAATAAGAGAAGAATGGAAAACAATTTAAGACTTTAAAAAGCTATTTACACTTAACTCTGCTCATAGATAATTTAACAAAATGACTAACATTTTCCAATTAAACTGAGTAGAAGATTCCACAATAACAGATGGCTCTATCTTTCACATCTGGTGACTAACACTGAATTTAATGAGTTCAGTAAAGAGTCCAACGTGTCGGGAGATGTAAGCCAAGGAAAGGAAAACCGACTCAAGCTTCCTTGAGCCTTTCTTTGGACTATTCACAACAATGGGTGCATATTCCTGCAAAATATCTCTGCATCTTCTGATCGGAGCCCTCCTCCTGACCTGTGTCCCCCCGTCTCCCTGCAGGTCATGATGATGGGCAACACCCGCGTGGCCGAGTTGCTGCTGCTCCACGGGGCCGAGGCCAACTGCGCCGACCCTACCACCCTCACCCGGCCCGTGCACGACGCGGCCCGGGAGGGCTTTCTGGACACGCTGGTGATGCTGCACCGGGCCGGGGCGCGGCTGGACGTGCGCGACGCCTGGGGCCGGCTGCCCGTGGACCTGGCTGAGGAGCGGGGCCACTGGGAGGTGGCGCGCTACCTGCGCGCGGCCGCGGGGGATTGATGGCAAGTCCCCCCTCCCGCCCCCGGACGCCCCACGAGGACATTTTTTCCTCCCCAGCACCCCGCTTCCCTCAAACCCAGTTCAAAGAAGGCTGCAACACAGGAACGGACAGCAGAGCCTCTCAAAGCCTGTCCAGCCTTCCCCAGCCACTCAGCTTCCCGGGAGGAGCCAAACAGACATAAGTTGCTACACGTTTTTTGGGAGAAGCCGAAGGCAGAAAGGTGGGGCAAAACTGGATCACCGACTTTTAGGGATGTGTGGTGCTCCAGGTGTCCTGCTCGTCTCTGGACTTGGTGATGGATGGAACGCACAAGTGACAGTGACGGCCGCGAACCTTCCGAGAGCTGACGCTGCGCTGCGGTGGGTGTTGGTGGCGGAGGTGATCGCAACGGAGGTGATCGCAACTAGGGCGCAGGCAGTGGGTTCTTTTGCCCCTACTGAACTGGAGGAGCTTCCCCGCGAACCCCAGTTGTGGGTCGTAATCCCTGGAGGCTAGAGGAGACCCGGAAGACCAGATTTGCGGGAGTGGGAGTGAGGTGGGCACCCCATAAAGTCTGCCATCTGGTCAGTGCAGGACAATTCATTTGCAAAATAACACTCTCCAGAAGAAGCCCTGAGGACTCCCGCTCAGCTCCCTCAGGTAGCAGACAGGGAGAGACATGGGGGCCATAGCAAATCTGCCCCTGTGTCCTAAAATGTATCCCAGTGAAACAGCAGCTCTCCAAAGGTGCTGCCTGGCTTTCAATTAAGTCTTGATTGAATTGGCATCTAGGATGCAGCCAAAGTCAGTGCAGTGTCACCGTGAACACGGTTGGAGCAGGCATTCTAAGGATGTGCTATGTAAGATAGAACACAAATCCCCCTATGAATTGTCGTTTAAGAAGATTTTAGTGATAGTTTGAACTTTTGCATTGTTCTTTTCTGACAATGTATTTAACGGGGAGACTAACTCATGGTCCTTGGTAAAGAGGTCAGACAGAAAGATTTTGTTGTTGTTGCTTTAAACAAAGGGAAACAGGGCCTCTCTACACAGTCTAGTCTAGCGCCCTCAATCTTCCTGTCCCAGCCTTCTAGTCTTGCACCACTGTGTACAGATGAACTACAGATTTTTAACAGAACCACGGCATATGGCAAGCCAATACCATTTTTCTTTTCACCCAACACCTAGATTAGCTTCATACTAAACCTATTTATTTTCCTTGTTCATTTTTTTCTCACTGTTTTATAGAGTATTTCAGGGGAATACTCCCAGTGTTTAGAAGATAGATGGACTTGCCCAGTAAATTATCTTGGGATTATTTCTCAAATGGTGCTGAAAAGGCAGAATGAGTATAAACCTGTTAAAAACATGATTGCTTGTGGGATTCTAGCTGAACAAATTACTAGTATACTGCTTTGGAACTTAATTTTCAGTGTTGTTTAATTCCTTATAGAATTGGAACAACTGATACTTCACTGATTTAATAAAGATTAAGCAGTATAAATTGGGATCTAGGATTTGGTTTGGCTTAAAAATGTATTTTCATGAACTTAACTGGTCATTTCTGAAATATTAAAGGTTCAAAAATATTTACATCTTTTGCTTTTTGTAGTAAGTGTATATAAGAGATTCCAACAATTTCTAAAACCTACTTACATATACCACAGAAAGTTAAACTTAAGATTTTAACAGCATTCTTCTAAGTGTCTAGTATACCAAATGTACACTTAACAGAAAGAAGAGAAAAATATTTGAGAATAAAGACTTGGAGAGAGGGATTGTATTATGCTAAATGCACAAGTCTTTACTTCTCTATCAGTTCTTTTTTCTCCCAAATAATACATCACTAGGGAAGATCAATACTGGGAACCAGACCACATCTTATTAGGGAAGAGAAGTGTTTATTGACATACAATTATACCATCCAGGCTTTCAAATGTATTTGTTCACTTAACAACTAAACCCAAGAGATAGAAATGGCTTTCTAGATAGGAAAATAAGGCAGAGAAATATGGAATAACATGCTATGGGATATTCATTTCATGATATGTAAAGTTTTTCTGACTCGGAAGCTTGTGGAAGTTTGCTTTTAAGTATAGGCAATGGGACTTTATTTGGCTTGTGGAACTGGAGGCTAGCCAGTCCATGTATCTGAGGCCCCATCTAGGGAGGATTTCTTACTCCTTCATACCTAGGCAAAAGGCATCATACATGAGGGACTTTCAGACAGATCAAACTCAAAGCCTTATGCATACTCATAATCCACATGAATCCACTCTGAATATGCCTTCGTTCATCCTGAAGCTGAACTGAGACCCCTCCTTTATGTTTCTCTATCATAGACTGAATTAAGCCCTATAAGTGTAGCTAATTTTCCTTCTCCATGTTGTAACTCACCAACAGCAAGCAAGCAGTCATCTTATTCATTTTCACAACCGCGGTGCACACTACCACACAGAGTCTGGACACAGTAGACTCAAAGGATATAAAGATAGCTGTAAACAGAAACATTTTACAGTATTACTATGTTTCAAGGTTTACAAAAAGTGAAATACAAATGGTAAACATAATGTCTACTTACAGAAAATCAAGTTTAAAGAAAGAATAATTATTTGCTTTCTACCCAAAAATCAATGTGCCCCAGCTGCTTCTAGATATAGTCTTTATTACATCAACAGTGTTTGTAAAAATAAACAGTGTCACTGTAGCAACCTAAAAGTTTATTTCTGAAACAGTGCTATAAAATTTTACTTTGATTAAATAATTTTGAGGTGATAGAATGTAGGATGTTATGAAAAATAAGAGTCTCATATGATTCTTCTCAATTGCATTTTTAGGTTAGTTTCATGGGTATATTACATTCACAGAACCTTAGAAGATAAACTGGCATAATTCAGACAATGGAATGTATACTTTAGGAAGCTACAGTCCCCAATATCTTGCATAAGTCTCTTCAGTGCGTAAGATGTTCAAGGTATTGAAGACATCATAGAAACAAAAATACTGTACCATCACAGTAACTGCTGAGGCACTAATTTAACTATAAGACAACTACAGATGAACTAAGAACAGCCCACCAGTCATGGGTAAATTGCTAAGACCAACCCAGACATGGACTAGTACATTAAGAAAGGTTTTAATTCACAGAAATACCCCTATAAGCTTGTGAGATGATATGGGGCTTCGAACATGTGTTCTGCATTTTTCTTCTTTTTCCATTTTTACTATAAATTGAGAATTTATACATTTGTTGAGTAAAAATGTTACACATAAATACAATGTAGTATTATTAAATCAATCTAGTTAACATTTCCATCACCTCAAATAACATTACACTAAATGAAATGTCAAAAAAGACAAATGGCACATCTGCCTTATATGTGGAATTTAAAACAAGATGATAAAGGCAGAGAATAAAATAGTAGTTTACAAAGCATAAGGAGGAAGAGATCTGGGGATGGTTGAAATTATTTTTAAAAATTATTTCAAAATAGCTAAGAAAGAAAAATTTAAAGTTCACACTACAAACCTCATTGTTTTATTCCCTCTGTGACATCCAAAATCATGAATGATAAATATGAAAACAATTAACACTTTTCAAAAGCAGAAATATGTAATCATCTCCCTTTTAAGTTCCTAAGGTGACTTTTTCTTTAAGATCCAGTAAATATAAACAGATTGTTTTAAATGGCTTTTACAGAATAGCACTCAAAAGAAACACCAGGAAAAAAAGATAATAGATTTTATTTTCAAAGTAAGCTATAAGAACAGAAAATATACTAGTTATTACTTCAGCGGCCAATCATTATAAGCGACAGGGATAATATTTTTAAGTTTATGTTTTTGTATAATTACCAAAAACTACTCAACTACTCATAAATCAATTGATAATTTAAATCACCCTCTTAGGAATGAGGTATGGCTCAAGTGGAAGACAGCTTACATAGCAGAGTCCTGAGTTCAAACCCTAATCCTACAGAAAATAAATTATCTCACCTAACTTATGAACTCCCTTATTTTCTCCCTTGTTGCTTAAGTTTCATAGTATTTGAATTTGGTAGTTATAGTACACTGAATCCTAAAAAATGATATTTAAATATCTCATAAAACATCTTCCTTTATTGCCAGTTTAAAATATATATTTGTGGGATCCTTCCTAGTGACAACTTGCTATATGGAGAATATTAAGCAAGAAGAGGTGATTGTGGATTCCACAGTACTATGTTGCACTGTTTTTGTTTTATTCACTTTTTTATAAAAACAAAGCTGAAACAGTGCTAGAAAGTAACTACCATTTGTGGTACTGTAACTTACGCCATGTCAAAACTAATTCAATTGAAACCCACCTGGCCCAAGGGTTTCTTTGATTTGCTAGCAGAACAAAGAGATATATGATACTAAATTTGCTAAGGACTTCACTTTGAAGGATATGTGCTGTGGAAGGATATGTTAGTTTAGTGATAAGCACTGCCTCTGACTCCCTACCTGTTAATTTCTGTATCTAAGTCTTAAACATTATTGGGTGTTTACAAATCCTCCTACCTGCCAGAACTACATCCCAACTTACCTTTAGAATTACATTGAATTTAGAATAAATATGATTCACTTGTCTTCATTTTTATGTTTCTTCAATTAAGTGAATGGATTCAGAAAACAAGTGTGACTACTATGAAGGAAAAAATTTGTGTTCTAAATTTCTTGAGCACTTCTGGTTAAAATTAGTAATTTCAGAACTAAGAAATTAAATCAATTCAAAAGGAAAGATAAAGACTCATAAAACCCCAAACACTGGTGAGACAGTGTTACTTAACATTTAGTAGGTATTTTAGTTTCATATATAGCAAGTACACACAGTGTCCAATCTATGTATTTTGAAAGTAGACAACAGATCTTCAATTAAAAGCATACAAGTAATTTCACTGACATTGAAATTCTATGCAGATTTTTGAAACATTAAAAACAAATTATGAGCTGGGTACTTGTGGCTCAGACATATAATCTTAGCTACTCAGGAGACTGAGATCTGAGGAGTGAGGTTCAAA